TAAAAAAAAAAAAAAAAAAAAAAAACCTAGTAGCATCTCCCAGTGGCAGGTCAAAAGCTTGGACATGGACGCATGGCAGCTTTCAGTTGCTCAGGACCACCACATTGCTGACTATAAATGGGATCTTGTCCTGATCTCAAATGTTGATTTCCTCCAAGAGAATTCTCCTCTCCATCTTCACCTCTACCAGAGCACTGTTAACATGAGCATTGGCATGCGTGCACCAGAGGTGGTGACTGGTGAGCAACCTTTTTGCCCAGGGACAGGTTTCCAGCTTGGACAGCTCTTCCCGACACAATTTTACAGCTTTCCCCCGCGAAGATGTCAACACACCTTCGAATTCCAGGAATTCTAGTTTTTCCGCGGCAGCAAATCTCAAGTTATCAATAATCATATGGTATAAGGAACGATGTACCGCAGAAAAAGCTGTAAAAATTACTTAGGCGAGTTAATTTTTTTGAACGTTTGGGAAGTTAGATGTAATTGAGGACTTGGCGACTAGCCAATCCGAGAGTCGCGTAAGCAAGTGCAAATTCTTCTCATGCCAGAGAACCACTTCCTGAAGACAATTCTGAGCTTCTTTTAATGGTAAACAAGATATTCTATTACATACCATGGTCATGAAGCCATATTACACAAGAAGCAACTCAACAGGGTTGCTTCATGCCAGTTGGTTAACTTAGAGAAAAATACTCCTGAATCGAAGCAATTATACTAAATACAAGTCATCAAGGAGGCCTGTTTAAACTTGAATGTTCATTCTCCAAAGAGATAATGCAAGTGAGCCTATCATAAACCTGTAAAAAAATTTGGAAAAAATATAATTATTATTATATAAACTAAGCTTTGTTTTTATTATTTCAAAAGTTAATATGCATCTGCATAGCCCACCGCTGAGAGCTGGTGATTCTTATCATCCCTTTCTTTCATGTCCTGTTTATTTGTTGATGAGCAGTCATACCTAGACAGTGTGAGATAACAATCTGGTCAACAATATCACGTCAAGTTATACACATAAATTCCAGTCTTGTGGTAGGATTTCATGAAAAAGATGGTGTAGAAACATAAATACAGAATTATACAACAGATACTCTAATCTGAAACATTTTTAGATTGTTACCAACCAACTGGACTGTAAATATATAGGATTTTACGCACCATTCGCGTGGAATGCCAGCTTCATCTCTGGCTGAATAATTAAAGGGTCCTTTCAGCTCCACACCATAATCCTCTAACAAGTCTGTGCATGTCACATCACAGAGATCCTAAACAAGATTTTTGCAGGTATTGAATCGTAAGGCACAAAAAATAAGAAGTCAGAAGGCTATATGAAAACCTTTAAATGTGGAGCAAGGGGCACGATTCATCTTCTGACAGACTGACACAAACCAGTAAACACCAAGGGCTACGTGTGCAACTTCCTCCTCAGCAATGCGAGCCACAATATTAGACGTCCTGTGATCCCCAAAGCCAATCAATTTTTGCACTAAACGTGGCCCAGCATCAAGTCCCCTAGCCTCCTATATCCATAACAATTGAAAAGTACACGTTCACTTCATCAACTTAAAACAAAACAACACAAATAAGCATCTCTACAAGGACACAAAAGGTAATTAGTTAAACAAAGAGCATGAAATTTAAGGAAAATCATTCTCACATTATCTTCATTAGGTATATGAATGTGCAGTTCTCTTCTTTCACCTAAACCTTAAAATAAGAACAAAGGCACTCCTACCCAGTGGAAAAGATTAAGGTGGCAGTAGCCAGTGAAAGTAAATCCCCTACCTACAATCTCACCAACACAGTACCATGAAAAGTAGTACAGCCCGAACAAAGATTAAGGTGGTATTCTGGTATGGAAAGACGAAACGTTCAAGAGATGGAAATACTTGCGTTGTACATGCTGATATACCCTATGCCACCTGATACGCGCCATGATCTTTATGGATACCTTAACAGCAGACTTCCATATAGTGATGCAAAGAAGCAGTAAAAGGAGAAATTCTGTTTTTTTCAATAATTTGAAATTAAATGCAATTTGAGATTCAGGTTTTATTCATATTATGGAATTTATGCTATTTGGTCAAACATAAAATTTTATTTATCCAAAAATAGAAAAAAAAAAAAAAAAAAGAGTTTACAATGTCAAAAATCATAGCAGCTATTAAAAATGCTATTACAGCTGTTTCTATAATAGTTTTTTTTTTTTTTCTGTTGGCCCAAAAAATAAAGGCTATTACTTTACAAAGAAAAAAAAAACACAAAAGTTTAGTGCTATTCCAGAACAAAGGAGTAGATTGATGGCCATAAAAAGGAAAACAAAAAAAAAAAAAAAAACAAGAAGACAAGGAATATATCTGGGTTTAGCTAACCCCAAAATCCTGTCGTCCATAACATGATGCAGGGAAGATAGTGGTAGGAACGAACAGAAACTAAAATCAAGTAAAATCAAAGATGGAACCAAGAAAACCTAGGATTTCAAGCTCAAGTTTATTCTGAAAATAAAATCTGACAACAAAACTAGCTGTAGAGATCTAAAACGAGCAATATATACTAAGCAATAGTCCTAATTCTTTTCAAACTCTAACTCCTTATAACCTGCTAGATCCTATACTAATTAAAAGTCTCATCAACACATAACACAGCCAACACGGATCACTAGAAGAAGCAAATCATCCACAAGTGCTTCCATATCTATAAAGCACTCAACTTGCTCACCAAATCATCCTACCCCGTCCTCTTTTTCTTCCTGTAAAGATATGAGAAAGAAGATGATAGCTTATTTTTTTGGCTTCTTAGTTCATATGATTATTCATCAATAATCCCACTAGTTCCTCATAAAATGATAAATTAGGTTTCAAGTTTCGATTATGGCTACCACTAATCCATGGTAGGATTTGTTATATCCACACAAATCTTGTTGAGTCTCACTTTCATGAGATGGGATATGGTAGGTCCCCTGGCAAGATTTGTGTGGACGCGTGCAGCCAATCCTGCATGGAAATAACCTTACCCTTCAAGAACAAATAAAGAAACCTGTATGTACCAATTTGAAGATATAACTGACCATTTAATCCTAATCAGAAGTAACCAAAATTTTCAACTGTATAACAAACAACATGAAAAGGAGATCCATGATTTTAAAAGTTTATAAAAAGAGAGATGAAGTAGTTAGAAACTAAAATGTTTTTACATGAAAGGACATGAATACAATAACCATGTCCCCAGCCCCCCAAGTCCAGGTGTCTAAAGCTATTCACCTTTGAAAAAGAACAAGAGGTAAAGAATTTATGTGAAAAAACTGGGTATACAGCCAATCAACCGAATGTCCCAGGCTCAAAGCAATTGCCCCATCCAAACAAACACTCTCATCTACAATCTTCATTGAAACCTGTATTTAAATCATGCAGAAATCCTATCACCATGCCACAAAAGTATCCAAAAAAATTAAAAATCTCATTAAAAAAAATTAGAAGTCACATGCTAACCACATGACCCCGGAAAAATTAAAAATTAATACCTCAAATAAAAGCTGGAATCTATAATTAACGCAAAACAACAGCTTCCAACTAATAATTAAAAGAACTTTAATGCTCCTGCATCATAACATCTACAATAACCCAAAGAACAACTTCAGCTTTGTAGAGGCTCTGATGGATCTCTGTGTTCTCCATCCAAACATGTCAAACACCAGGATTCTAAGCTAGCTTAATAAGCACACTAATCAGGGGCTTTCTCCTTAGATTTTTGCCTAACCAACTAATCAAGTGAATACATGAATCAATAAAAGGTGATCAGAAGATTCTGCAGCATTGTTGTACAAAACATGTGTCATCAATGCTCAGTGTCCATTGCCTTTCCCTGGATTTTGTTGATCTGTTCAACATAGTGAGGCAACATATAAAATTATGCTTTGCAATTGACACAGAAAACCAAACCAGCATGTACCAGGGATCAACTAAAACTTGAACTTTGGTATGTTTTCTTTAAAATAAACTAAAACGGGCTCCAACCCTGTTTCTTCCAGAACCGAGATTCTCCCCATCCTTTCTCACAGCATTTTCATAGCAGGCCTTGAAGTGCTTTCTAGCAGCCATGGAAGGAATGGATTCAGTACTGAGGGAAAGATAGATTCAAACTTTGTCAGACCTGAGGATTGGTTTCTCTAACCTTATTTTTCTGGGCTGATATTTAAGCCAAGCAGCAAATAGGAGCTAGGACTAATAGCACAGTGTATACTTCGGAAAACACTTTGCTAAATTGAACTCTAGGATGAGCATCAGGTAGGTCATCAGAAGGTCTCAATAGGTTGGCTTGGAAGAACATGAAAGACTGAACCAAAAACCCACGAAGCTCATCCAGAAACATAAAGATAGATCCTCTCTGACAGGCCATTTTTAACTTTCTCAATGAGGCCAATCTATGAACATTGAATTATTAATCTGAACCACTAGGTCTCAGACCAGGTACCCAATCATGTGTTTTTCTGGTCAGAGTATCACCTTCCAGTGCTCCCAACCCAGAAATACAGCACTAAGCCCTTTACTAGCTATCCTGTCTCTCAGTCTACTGCCTGCCCACCCTCCACCCTCCCTCATCCACATTTGAATCCATACTTTCCTCCAAGAATCCCATTAAACCTGTTAGGCCTTACTTTTATTCTACGTTGTGCATTATTTGGCCTTAAAGTTAGCATTAGATTTTGTTTGTTTTCTTATTTATTTAGGATTTCCCTCTGGAAGACTTATAACTCATTGTTGAATTAGGATTAGAGTTTTGATCTCTAAATGTTAGCTATTACATTCTTCCAGCAACTAGGATGCAAATGATCATGCCAATCATCACATCAGCCTCGCAATGAAGAGTAAATTACCACATTAACAACATTGGGCAAGAGGATATTACCTGTACTAATGGGATGACAGCTAAACGTGCAGCAACATTGTCCGATGATTTCTCACACTCTCTCCAGAGCAAGTTATGAGCAAGCATATCTCCATAACTAGTTAATTATAAACAATTGCAACTCAATATAACATATAAAAATGGCAAATAATATGTCTGGTATGCAAAAGGACATGACTCTGCTTACCTGAAACCAAGCTCAGCAAGCCTCTGTGAACACCACCCAAAATGGCGGCTCTCATCATCAGCAACTTGTGCAAAGTCAGCAAAGAAGTCTTCCCCAAGAATATCACAGAAGGGTGAAAACCGAACAACAGTGTCCCATGCCAAATCAATTGCATTTAGCTCCACATGAGCAAGATTATGAAGCAAATAAGCATTAAGAGGCAAGCCTGAGTTTTTAGGGGCCGGGATCTCCTTTGGTGTGACCTAGATTGCAAAGGGATTAGTCATCCGACCACCTCTCTAGTAATTGATGGGCAATAGACATATCTACAGGTAAAAAAATTACAGATGATGCTTATGGGACCAAGGTGCTCCAGTTCTATCAAAATAGATATCCATTTGCTAAAATAATAAGAGGGATTGTAATCAATAATAAGAAGATAAAATGAGAGATGCCAACTTAGTGAAAATCATCATATTTGTTGTATATATATAGTCATATATAATATTTTCTAATAATAATAAAATAATATAATATATATTATATACTAATTGTAAGTTTAATATTATATTTTTATATTAGAACTATTTAAGTGGGAATGGGTTAAGGTTTTGAAAGAAGTGAAAAATGGAATAAAAGAAACAAAATGAAAGTTCCGGAAACTGTCTTGAACAGTTGTGATTGTGTAGAAAAACCAGTGGTTTAAAGCCAAATGGTGTGAAGATATGTCAAACTTAATTGAGTTTGGCATAATATGAAATGAAGAGAAACAATGATTCTCTTGAGGAGCCGTTTCTTTCTAAATGGTGTATATACATTGATTTGGACAATATAAATAAAATGAAGAACAACCAATTGTGTGTGACTTCCAGAATTGTCAGGCTTTGTTCCCTTTGTTTCATTTCTGCTTCTTAATCTTTGTGTGTATACTGGCTTTGGGCATCAAAATTCATTTATAGTAGGCATTGAATCCTGGGGATAATGTTTCCTGCAGAGGCGGAAACTATTATCCTTAAGATAGATTCTTGGAATTGCCTTCGCTTACACCAATTTCTTTACATCTAAACTCTCTGCACACACAAATATATAACAATATCCTCAAAAGAAAAAAACCCACGAAATTCTAAGTTCAATCAATTTCATAAAATCGAAAAGGCTACATAGCAAAATCAAGAAAACTCCAATTTTCTACACTATAAAGTTAACATAAAAGAATTAAATTAGCACAAAAACCAAATGAATTACACACTCAATAAATTGCTTTTGCAGGAAACAAAAAGAAAATCATAAGAACTGAATAAGTAGTTGAAAAGAAAAGGAAAACGAACCAATTGAGGTTTAGGGGGCCGTGCAGGTCGAGATGGGCCATGGCAGACTCCAACAGGCAGATTCTCATTGCGCCAGCGAGAGAAGGCAAGGTGAGAGAGCTTGGCTTTAGTGAGAGGATCGCCGGTGGAGAGAACCACAGCACCAAGCTCCGCGAGAGAGGACGCAGAAACATCTAGTTGAGTGTCAATGATGTCAGTTGATTGGGGCTGTAGTTGAGGGCCGTTGGGGCCCCAAAAGCGATTCTCATTAAGTGAGCTTTCTCTCCAGCTCCGGAGACCAGACCACGGAGAAAACTGCGAAGAAGAAGAGAAGGGTTTTGTGTTGTAGAAGTTAAGAGAGACAAATGGGCATTTTAGGCATGGCGAGAGCACAGGTCTGAGTTTCAGGTGTTGCATCCCTTCTGTCGTGGTTGCTCATCCATGACATCGCTCTAGATTTATACTCGGCTAAATTTAACTTTTCATCTATTAACTATTATTCTATTTTTATTTTAGTTTAAATAGTTTAGTTTCTTTCAAATTCATCTATAAACTATAAAAATCATTTCAAATTCACCTATCTAACCAACTTCCATTAGCCTTTTTAACGGAATGCTATGGCGTAATTACGTGGCACGTGACATATGCAATTTTGAAAAATTATAGTTTTTTTTTTTTCATTTGTATGTCTTAATAACTTTTCACTTTTCATGTAAGAATTTTTTTTTATTTTTAATTTTGTAATAAATCTATATATTTAAATTTTGATTAACAACTAAAAAAATCATCATTGTTATTATTATGATAAAATTATATTATTTTCTTTTAAAGTTAGTGCAGATTAATCTTCAATCTTAAAAAAAATTAGAGTTTTAACCTATATTTAAAAATTAATTTAAAAACTTAAATTTTAATTCAAAATTGAGAATCTAATTAGTTTCTAAATCTAAATATCAACATTTAATAAAATAAACTTTTAAAATTTAAATGAAGTTTTAATTTAATAAAATGAAATAATTTAAAGTTAAAACCTCAATTTTTTTTTAGTTGAAACTGATATGCATTTTTTTTATTTAGCTCAAAAAATTAATTTTTATCTGTGCTCTTTCTTTCTCAAAATAATTTGTTTTTTTTTCTAATTTTTTTAAATTAAAAATTTTAAAATAATTTATATTTACTTGTATTACCCTTAAAAAGAAATAAAAGATGAGGAGATACATTTTGTGATGGGATGATTAATTAAAATAAATAGATAATAACAAATATATTTTTTTAACTTTAATCTTATTATTATTTATTTACTTTAATTAATCATTTCATCACAAAATGTATCTTTTTTGAGAGTTGGAGTTGATATGTATTTTTTTTATTTAGTTCAAAAAATTAATTTTTATCGGTACTCTCTCTTTCTAAAAATAATTTTTTTCTTTTTTTTTTTAATTTAAAAATTTAAGGATAATTTATGTTTACTTATATTACCCTTAAAAAGAAATAAAAGATGAAGAGACACATTTTGTGATAGGATGATTAATTAAAATAAATAGATAATAACAAATATATTTTTTTATTTTAACCTTATTATTATTTATTTACTTTAATTAATCATCCCATCACAAAATATGTCTCTTAATCTTTTATTTCTTTTTAAGGTAATACAAGTAAACATAAATTATCCTTAAATTTTTAATTAAAAAATAAATTATTTTGAGAAAGAGAGAGTATTGATAAAATTAATTTTTTGAACTAAATAAAAAAAAATGCATATCAGTTTTCGAACTTTAAAAAAAATTGAAGTTTTAACCTTAAATTACTTTGTTTTATTTAATTAAAACTTAATTTAAAATTTACAAGTTTATTTTATTAAATGTTGATATTTAGATTTAAAAACTGATTAGATTCTTAATTTTGAATTAGAATTTAAGTTTTTAAATTAGTTTTTAAATATAAGTTGAAACTCTAATTTTTTAAAAAAATTAAAATTAATCTACACTAACCTTAAAAAGAAATGATATAATTTTATCATAATAATGACAATGATGATTTTTTTAGTTGTTAATCAAAATTAAAAGATATAGATATATTATAAAATTAAAAATAAAAAGTAAAAAAAATCTCACAAAAAAATTGAAAACATTATTAAAATGTACAAATGAAAAAAAAGAAAAAGAAAAAGAAAGAAGTACAGTTTTTCAAAATTGCATGTCACGTGCCACATAATCATGTTATAGGATTATGTTAAAAAAACTAACGGAAGATTGCTAGGTGAATAAACCTGAAATGATTTTCAAAATTTATAGATGAATTTGAAAAAAACTAAATTTTTTAGTCTAAAATGAAAATAGAATAATAGTTAGTAGATGAAAAGTTAAATTTAGCCATTTATACTCCTACTATCACCCTGTTTAAATTAATTATGGGCAAAACATTACATTAAGCCCCTAAACTTACCTCAAATTCTCAATCAAGCCCTTGAACGTTTATTATGATGAATAATCTAGCTATTGATGGCAATTTCCCCGTTCCCGCCTGACCACCAATAAGGATCCCCGCCATGGGAGTCATGCGAGGTGGAATATTCTTTCTTGTGGTGGAGGTGGAGACTTCTGAGCACTTTTTTTGAAATTTTGTAAGAAATTTTTTTTACCATGTAAGATTATCATTCTCTGTTAAATATTTAAATATATATATATTTATATATTAAATTCAACACAATTTAAATATTAAACTCATTAATATAAGCATACTCATTACTCATTTTTAATTTGTAAAACTCCTTTTTGGTTATTTTACTTTAACAAAAAAAAAAACTCCTTTTTAATTCTTCTACTTAAAAAAAAATTTTTTAGTCACTAAAACTTATTATTTGGTCCTTTTTAGTCCCTTTGTTATCTTTTTGCACACATGACATGCTAGATAATAGAAATTTCAAACTAGATGGACTAAAAAGGAGCTTTTTTAAAGTAGAGAAACAAAAAGGGACTTTTTTAATTCCTTTTTAGTTCACCATCTAACATACCACTACTACTTGTGTAAAAAATAATAGGAGGACTAAAATGAGCCAAATAATAAACTTTTGTTAAAGTAGAGAGATCAAAGAAAGGTTTTAACTTTTTTTAATTTTAATTCAATACTGAAGTTCAATTATTTTAAAGCAAACCAAATCTAATATTTTTTTTACATTAATCCAACTATTTAATTTTTTTAAAATAATAAATGAAAATGATTATATTAATTTTATAATATAGATTAGCAAAGGTAAGGAATCCTTAAAGTAACTAGGATAGGGAGCAAATCCTAACCTTGTCAAAAAATCCCTTTAGGAATCCGTGTCCCTATGATTAGTGGGAATGGGGATAGGGAGCCATTCCCTAACCTCACAAGTGTCATTGCCGTCCTTAATTCTACATGACCTAATAAATCCACCCTAGTACTATGTGTAATACACTTCCCTTAGTATTCTTATTTCCATGGGAGTCCTAAAATAATAACCCTAAATAAGAATGTAATAGAAGAAAAAACATTTTTCTAAAGTATAAAATGACTCTTTTTGAAAAGAACCTACTTCCCTGTCATTTCAAAATTATAAGTAAAGAAAGATAAATAACTTGTAAATGAAAAACCAATTTAGCAAAAGTATTTTAAAGAAAGATATAAAATGCTCAAAGTTGTGAGATAATATAGGCTGAGTCCATTTTCAAATATTTATAGATTATATATATGAAAACAATTTATACAAAAATAGATGTGAGCAAATATTTTTTAAAAGCTTTTCAAGATGATAAAGCACAACCATTATTTTGGTAACACATCGATTTACCTACACATCAAAAGTAGTGAGGTCCTAACTTCTACATATGATGAGCATACGTGACCTATGACAAAAGTATTAAGCTTGGTGATTGCTACTCCAATCTATTGATTTGAAATGGGGGGAAATAATATGAGTTAAAAGCTGAATAAGTATTAAGTTAAAACTATAAACTTGGGTCCTAAAACCCTTAGATCTATACACTCAGAGGATATAATATACAATTAAGCCACGTCACAAAATATTACAATTCTTATTATTTAAATAACAACTTAACATGTTACATATTAATTTATAAACAATTAAATATGGCAAAGAAAAGCCAATGGCAATTAATTCAAATTCATATCATAAAATCATATGTTTGCAAATAGAATGTCATAATCAGAATGCATATAACAAAAATACACAATGCTATAAAGTCCACTTATGTGTGCAATTAACACTTGTATTGAAGCTAATCACGACACTCACCTTACTGCACAAAGATCCACTAATTACCCCAATGTGTGCATTGAATACCTTAAGTTTTAAACTTAGGGTCCACTTATTCTATAACCATAAACACATACACATGTCAAACATGTTCAAAACAAATTCAAAATATTATAGGAATATAATTCCATTTATTAATTCATTTAAATCTCCACACAATTCACGTTGCTTAACCTCATGGTTAAAACATATAAAATATAGCATTTATTCGTCCACTTCATGACTTACATTTTAGAGCAATTCACATCAATTTCCTAATGTTAGTCCACAAATTCCATCCACAAAATTGGGAACTGACTCCTTACTATAATTAAATAATTAATATATGAAAAATTATCAAAAACTCAAGTGCCTAAAGTTACAGACAACACTCAAAATTCTTAATAAATATATAGATTTTGTTTAATCAAGCTAATCCCCAAGAAATCATCATGTAAAATATGCAAGAGAACACACAGCAACAATAGTAAATTATTAAACAACAAAATACACACGAAATTCAAGCATGAAAATAAAACCCACTATAGATTCTATCTCGTATAAGCCCCAAAAACAACATATATTTCTAACAAAATTCTAAGACCCAAAAAGTCTCTTAAACAAAGGATTTAAGGTTAAATTTCACTAACCCAAACCAATTCTTAGCATATTATAGCAAATTTATAACCTATCCAAAACTCTAATCCAAGTCTATAACTAAAACTCATACTTACATATGAGATCCATAGCACAAAGTAGGAGAATATTGTAGAAATTGAAAGAAAATCCAACAGAAAAGTGCATCCCACATCCACTAGCACAACTTTCCTCACACTTGGCTGAAAAAAGAAAGTTGCAGAGGAATGGTTTGGGAGACTTCCTACAAACTTTTTTAAGTCTAAGCAAAACAATTTACTTGATAAATATAGTGTCACTTAGCACAAAATTGGGATAATGAAGTTGAACATCCTTTAACTTCTTCTTAACTCCACTTAACACCCCCAAACTCTAAATCTAATTAATTTGGTTCCTAAGACTTTAAAATAAAGCAGTCTAATTGGTAATCTATTTACCAAAGTAGCATATAGTTACTTAAATTGTTGACTTTAGCAAAAAAATATGGCTTAACCCCCTATGCCACCCTCCAACTTTTTGTCATTGTAGGTTTTAGCCCCCCCAACATACAATGTAAGTTATTTAATTGAAACATGTAACACCCTCCCTTAGATACCTTTA